TGTCCCCCTGTTGATATCACCAGCTTGCAGGACCTGGGGGTTGTAGCCACAGTCAGTGTTTTTTCCCAGGGGTACAAGAAGGTGTGATCATGTCTGAGGACATCAGTCACAACCCTTGCTAGGGACCAAACCTTGGTGTGGGGATGGTGGATATGAGCGAGCATCCTTGGGGTTTTATTCATAGGGGATTTTGCGAGACTGTCCCACAGCTGCATCGCAGCATTGGTGGTGTCTGTGTAGAAAGAGGTAGTGCATGGGGCAGCGGGGGACAGCAACCTCTCCCCCTCCCCTGTGCTCACTCCTCTTGCTTTGATGCCACCTGCCCTAGCTCTGGCTTTTGATGGCTGGTTTCTCGTTTGCTGGTTCTGTTGGATATGAAGGTCTGCAAAGTACTTTTTGCAAAGCAGCCACGCTAAAAGCAGGCCAGCTGTGCAAACTGACAGGCAAACAGCGTGCGTTTGCGTCAGGGGGTTGGCAGAGCATTTCTGGAGGAAGGGATGTGTTTTACTGTTCATGTCACACTGCTGTGTCCTCAGAGAGCCCTCTCTTCACCTGCCTACAGTACGCAGGGCACACCTCTCGTGCCTTAAATCAGGACTTGCGAGATGGGGCTGTGGCTGGGTGGGTTCGGGGCTGTTTCTGCGGGTGCCATTCTGGGCAGTCGGGACCTGCAGCACCATTGAGCCCCGCAGGCTCCAGCTCTCCCAGCGAACGCTGGCACGGCGTCAGCCCTCACCAGCCAGCTCTGCTCCAAACAGCTCCTGGCATGGTTGGCAGTCAGCTCACCCCGGGGTCAGCTGTCCACAGACAGACTGCACATCGACACCCCGCTGGGGAGAAGGGGATTTAATAGTATGGATGCGCGGATATAGATTTAATAGTATGGATACAGGTATTATGTGCTATGTAACCTCAGGGCCAGAGGACAATTCCAGGCCTGTTTAACTGACTGATAAAGCGGTGGCCTCTGTGGAGTTCATGAAGGCTTAATTTCTGTTAAGTCGATATTATTACAAACTGAGCCATTTTGAAAGAAGAATCTTTTGTAAACCAAGTGGAGTATTCTGTGATTATGCCACCAGACCCGAGAGGTTTTGCATCGTCTATGGAAGCCTAACATTACCAGCTTCCTTGAAGAGGAGGAAGATGAACACTCGCTAAGATACACATCCAGTCCTTTCGTTGTTTCAAAACCAATTTTCTTTGAAAGGCTTTTTTTTGTTGTTTGCAGTAAGAAGCCACAGGTACTGAACCGGAGTGTATGCATGCCGCAGTAATCCTGCTTCATACAGAGGGGAATTCTGTCTTGGACCATCCTCACAGGGGAAAAATCTGGTGAGTCCATTTCTTTGAGTTTTTGACCTAAAGGGGGGGCAGGGGCAAAAGGCAAGGAAAGAGGTGACGTGGTCCCCCTCTTCTGCTGGGGCACCAGGGGTATCAGAGCAATGATGGTGTCTCCCTGAAATCCCATGTAAGTGGCGATCCCCAACTCTAGCACTGGTGTTGCATACAAATGCAGTGACATAATTCTCCGAGTACACGATTTACCTTGTCTTCCCAGGCGTTTGCCAAACTCAGGATCAAAATGAATCAAAAGGATTCTGGATAAGAGTCTGAAATGAGAGCATGGGCTGTTGAAATGCGTGACGAGGAAAAACCTGGGCGAAGAGTGTGGAAGAGGACTATGCCTGGCCTGAACAGAAGGTAAAAGGTCACAAAGTAGGTGGTTAACAAAAATTACTGGAAAAGTGCTGTATTACCTTGTGGTCAGAGGAAGGCAGGGCTTGGCTGTACCACAGAGAGGGGCGTCCTTATTCTGTGTGCTAGATAAATACTTGGCTTATTTGCTCACTTACTTAATACTGGCCTCAGCCTATTGGGCGCGATACGCATGCGTGTGCACACACACGGTACATGCAATTATGCATATACAGTATGTACATGCAATTAAACAAATATAGTGTTTCTGGTACATAGAGTACGGAGATGCTGTAGAGACGTCCCTTTTGCTCTGGGGCCGTGGTGTCTGCGATACCTGCAGAAGAGTGGGCTGATGGCAACGGAGCCTTGTTCCTGGGTCCTGGGGAGTCCTTTAATAGCTGGATTACAGGAAAACGGTAAAGTGGCAACAGTCTGCCCATGTACTACAGAATTGAGGTTAAATATTACTCAGAGTAAAGAAAGAATTAGTTGATTCTTAACAGCTATTGGGAAGCAACCTGAGGAAAAATAATGATGGGGAGTGCCTGATCTATAGAGCAGGGAATTACTTCTGTCTTTATCTAGAAAATTCAGGTCCACTTTGCTTCGTTGTTTGACATGTTATTAAGAAAACGAGGGATAGATCTATACTTTTGACGTGTATCAAGCATGTGTAAGCATGATAGCCCATCTGGCTCTCGGGAGTTAAATTAGAGATTTCTTAGGAGAAAAAAGGCAACCTAACGTGAACAGTCCAGTGAGCGCTCAGATCCACTAATTGGGTTATTTGCTATGAAAAGAAACTGCTATCCTGATCTCAGTAATGTTACCCAGGCTGTTTGTCACGTTTAAGAGGAGAGGTAAGTGAAAAATAAACCATTTGTTTTTAAAACAGTAGGCTAGCTATCTCAGCCCAAAGCAACCAGCAAGAGCCCTGTCTAGAGGACAATTTGTTTCAAAGCAAAGGAACAGGGTTTGGGCTCGGAAGAGGTCACACGAGTGCGCAAGGAGACTTGCTAAGAGCAGAGCAGCTAGAATGGGATTTGATTCATTTTGAACTTGTAAGCCTGAAAACCTACCCAGAGCTGGTGTCTGAACCCTACAGGTGCTTCAGTCGGTGCTGTTAAAGGTGTCTTTGTGTCCTCTGAAGATCTTCAGTCCGTTGGCATCTTCCTCTCAACCAAATAACGCATTTCCTCGCTTATGGCTAGGTCAGTTTGAAGCAGTAGGTGTGCTCTGAGAATGTATTAACTTTCAAAGCACGAGGAGGTTTCTGTGTTCTTTCACACCGCCACTGGAAGTTACCACCGTAACGGCTATTATTTCTTCCTAAAGGTGCAGGTTTACACCAATGCATTGCTCATCTTTTTTTTTTTTTTTTAATTGGTGTGGAAAATCTGAAGTCGTAAAACCTTGTGTGACTACAGGACATGGGGATAAAACAGCAGGTAAGAAAGTGTTCTACCTACCAGGAAACTTTGATAATTTGGTGTTTGAGATATAGATCTATATAAATAAAAATTGCATAGAATTTAACTGGGCCTCACTTGACAATTAATGACTCTATCTTTCTAATAAACATTCACAATTAAAATTTTAAAGACAGACAGCTATAGCTTAGCTTGTCTTTAAACGCAGAGTGAACAGGTTTCAAGGTGACTGTCACAATGCAAAGCTAGATCCGAAGTCTCTGATTTTAGCGGTCTTTGAGACACTTACTGTGTCTCATTTGCAGGGAGGAACAACCTATAATGGGGCGTCTAGAGACCTGGCATTCTTCTGCTCAGGCTTGTCTTCTCATGACTAATCTGACTCTTACTAGGGTGGTTATTGTGGTCTCCAACTGTATTAAAACCCATGTTTTGACCTCCAAGTCTAGGGTAATTTATTGAAGGAAACCCAGGGAAGCTTTTCCCCAGAAGGAATGGGGTTTATTGAAAGCACTCACTAGCGACTTAATGACGTGGCTCTGGCGAGAGGTGAGGTGACTGTATAGAAGGGAACCTGGAAACAAAATCCTGTACCGGTCCCTTCTTCGGGGACTCACTTCGATGTCAGCAAATGCAGTAAATGCACACTGCCACTGGTCACGGTACCTGTAATTTATGAAGAATCTTTATTTTCAATCCTTTTTGGGGAAAAAGGCTTCACTGGTCTTTTTAAAACATTAAATTACAAGCTGGCAAGAGGTTATACAGTACACTTGCTAAATGTTTTCGTGTTAATTTAGTGCAATTTCTTCTGCTTGCCTAAGACACTTAAGCAGGAATTTCTTTTGGCACAGTTACCCATTTGTTAAACCCCAAGCAGGAAGGGCAGTTATAACCTACTTCATAGGAAGACCTCATGCCACATCCGCCTCTCTTGCTTGAGGCTCACATGAAAATGGCAGTACCAGCTCCCTCCTGGCTGAGGCGCGTGGCTGTGTGGAGCTGCCTGAAAGGGCAGGTGCGGCGAGAGCTGGAGAAGGATCATCACGACAGAACCACTGACCGACCTCACCTCGTCTCTTCGGAAACACTGAGAGAAGGTGACACGTACAGTGCCACGGCACAACCAGCTGCAGAGGTGAGTGACTGACAGCCAGAGCAGCCCCTTCAGAGCCAGACTCGCAAAGACTGTCCCAATGTCCACTGCGACTTCAGTTGTTAACAAGGCTTTACGGTGTAACTTGTTTGATTGTAACGATGGAATGCATTCGTAAGACACAGAGACCCCAAATCCTCCTTGTGTCACCTGAGTACTTATTTCTGCTTACCTTCTGAATTCATTCAAGCTCTGGGTTCTAAGGGCCATTTGTAAAGGGGCAAAAAACTTTCAGTCGTGCGTAGCTAGGAGATAGATTTTTCTATTTTAACCAGGGATTCTCAATCTCAGAAAGCTGTGGTTAATATGTGGTGAAGACCATCTTCATTCACTGTACATGACCCAGACCAAAACGTGTTAATCTTGTCAGACGCCAAAGAATGTAACAGTTTGTGCAGGTTCA